TCCTGCACCTCGTCACAGGGTCTATCCGAGTTCTTTCCGAAAATAACACGCTGGCCGACAGTGGATGGAGGCAGAGCCACCAGCGTGTCACAAGATGAAGGAAACATCCTAAACAAACAGATGCCATTCTCTATATCACTATATTTAATAAAATTCATGTTTAACATTACATGCCCGTTCACAGAAATTATACAACACGCTACACGCACGTGTTTAATTTTAAAAAAGTCTTTAACTTCCTGTGCGTGAATTACAAACCTAGGCACCCCCTTTGTTACTGAACCAAACTGGCATAAATTTATCAAGATGCAGTATACAATAAACATTTACAACGAATATCAAGGACGGAGTATTAACTGCACAGTAACGTGTACTCAGATTAGGCATCGTGCGCTTTTAACATACAATCAGCACTATTTAGCTATACCTGTCAAGCAACTGTGATAAAATTATTCTTTTAGAGTTTATTTTTTCACCTTCTCCTTGTAATTCTCATGACTTATTTGACTCGGAAGAACAAGCGGCGTCATCACGGAAGTCACGTGTTATTTGTCACGGCTTATCATCGTCGTCATTTAATAGGCTACGTTCAGTGACACTTTCTCAGTTAAACCTTTTCATTGTATTATAAAATTATTTCAGCTAAAGTACTTATTTTGTTGATTCTGGAGATAATATCAGCCCATTTCTAAGTGAACCCGCCCCCTATATCTAGGCAACGGTGCCCAGTTATTTCCATGTGGACATATATTTATGAATCATTTATTTAGTTGTTTGTTTGTTTATTTATTTAGATGGAGGAAAGGTAAACTTACCAGAAGAATTACACGATTGGCCACATTTTAAAGAAATTGTTGCTCTGTGTAATCCAAAATTAAAATAAAAATAGCAAATTAATTCTAGGTCAGTGTCATAAGAAACAAAATGTGATGACATTTATCTGGACGTTTTCTTAATATGGAGTTTTGAATAGAAATACAGGCTATAACCATAAATTAAATCCTATTGAAAAAGAGAGAGAATGTTGGCCAGCTTCGGAAAATCAACTTACATGCTGCTTTTGCGTTCTGAGAAGCTGTTATATCCAGCCCAATAAGAAATATTTCCGTAACTTTCCTGTCCCGAGATGAGCCTTGCACGAGCACTCAGGAAGTTGTACGTTGGCTGAGCATAGCGCATTCATGTGTTATCCAAAGCTAAGTCTGATATGCGGACGTGCCGCTGGGTCTCTCTACCGGATGGGAGATGGACGCCGTTGCTGTGTGTTCTCAAGTGCCACATCTTCGGACGAAGTACCGGCTTACTTCCAGCACTGGCAATCTTCCGCCTTCCCTGCTCTCCTCCGCACACGTTTTTCCACACGGGGGAAAAATAAAACGCAGTATGTCGAGTTCCAGTTTGATTGCTGCAAAGTGGCCAATTATCCAAACAGACACAC